TCCTATCTTCTTTGATTAAGCGCACCAGTGCTTCTTCGAGCTTTATCATTATATATGCCCAGGGCTATCCAATCTATCAGATGCAATCGCGTTACGTATGTCGCAAGCACACAACGATTCTCATCAATCAATGAGTAATATCTTACTGGTTAGAAGATAACTTCTGAAGATCACAACTTTACTTTTTGATGGTGTTGTCATATCTGTACATATTAGAGATGACTAGCAATTGACAGGCTTCCGATGACCACAATTTCAATACGTTCGAATGAAAGCCTACATTTGAGATGAATGAAACGCCTCATTTTGTTTACGGGATGAACTTCATTTTTTATCCTACATTCGTAAAAATGATTCAACATATTTGAATTCGACTCAGCAAACGATTCCAAATGATTCAACAAAATAAAATTTCTGTTTAGGCAGAATGTCATTCTGATAGGTGTCATTCAGTTGCATCCTGCAATTACTTCATTCATTGACGTGCAACGGTTGCTATGAGAAATCAACGACACACTGCATATATCTGAACAACTATTCAATGTGGTACGAGAATGTGGTGCAAGAAAAATAAATATCATAGATTTCAAATTATCACGAAGCATACCACATTTCCTCGGATAAGAACCCAGAGGGGTGTGATTTTTTCATGTTTTTGAAGCAGGGGAGAAATGAATTTGTTCAAGGCGAATATACCTAATAAGGCGATGAATACAGATTGCGTAATTTGCTTGGATGAGAAGCTCCTTTCTAGAGGAAAATATAAACGATGATGATAAATAACAGTAGGGGTCAGGAAGTTATCTGAGAGACTACGATTTAAGTTCTCAGTTGTAAGGTACGTTGAGAAGACAGGTGGGTAAACTCCTAAAATCGAAGAAGATCCTTATACTGCTATTAATTGCTGTCGTGAAATTTTGAAAAGTACAAGGAATAAAGAAGGATGATCATTGAAGTGAAGAAAACAAGATTTCTTGCTAAGGTCAGCTTGTCCTCTACGTCTAATCGAGACTATTCCGGTACTAAATAAATCAAGGTTTAAAAGCAGCAACACACCAACAGCAACAACACCAGATTTTTACGCGCTACAGCCACGAATAACCTGATTGATAATCAGTGTGGCATAAAATATGTGCGAAAGCAAATATCAATGCGCGACGTCAGTTTATTGAGTGCATTTATTATAAGTCAATTGACTTTGAGAGATCTAGTCATCCGTTCATTCAATGCAAGTAAAGCTCCATTCTCACAGAGAGCATAACAGCTTCGAGACAACTGCTTATAAACGAGAACAGAATGCTCATCACTTATGCATTCGGAAATTACCACTCTTTCTCTCACTGCCTACATATGTTGTCTGGGCATGGACTTGATAGCAAAATGAACAATCGTGAAACTGTGAACGTTAATATCGACAGTGTGGCTTAACTGCAAAAGGCGAGAAGACGAGAACTTGAAGTAGTGTCGACTTTAACTGTTGAATGAAGCATGAATGAACTGCTAACCTGGAACCAAACTTGTGTAACCCTCTTGCTGAGACCCGTCATTGTGGCTATTCGTTCGAGGTCAGCTCCATCTGGATTGCTATCGATTTGAAAATGCGTCTGAAGAACAGCGAGTTGTTCTTCGGCAAACGTTGTCCTCACACGTTTTGTTTTCGTTTTTTGTTGTCCTGTAATATTCATACGAATGTTATCAAGACTGATTCACACATTCTCATTGTTAGCTCGTTTTACTCGATGTTTTACACGATCACACTGATACTGTGGGAATCCTTGATAGAACCTGTTGACAGCTTCAAAAACTGTTAAAATCGATCAAAAAATTCATTTCTCATACTGTACGAGTCAGAACTGACCAGTTTCTCCTTCCACCAATTCCATGTAATGCTGCTTACACAGGAGTCTACAATCTTGCAGTGCAAATTCTTCACCAGTGCTCAGTTGTCGTTTGCATTGATCGCAAGCAAAACAAGCCAAATGGTAAACAAAGCTACGAGCACGTCTCACCCAATCAGTTGGCTGAATTATCCGTCGACATGATGAACACTTCGTACCAAATTGCCTCAAAATTTGATTTGTTTCATGCACAAACTGATTGCATGCAAACGAATATTCATATTATCACATTCAAAAACGTATCAACTCAATTCATATTATCAACGCTTTGTACACATTCAAGTCCTGTTAAAATGTTAGATGTTAGATGGCACCAAACCGCCATTGTTGCTCCTCACAGATGGCTCGCTTCAGCACGGTGAGAAAGAATCAAGAAAGAATACACAACTAGATCTTTGTAAAATTGCGTAAATATCTTACATTTGGACCACAACTTGTATAGGTCTTATAATAAAGTGGCGGTCAGATTGTGACCCTGTATGAGGTGAATTAATTCAATGTTAATGAATTGCAAAATCATAGATCGAAATCAACAAAACTCTTTGCATCTTCCTGACCTTCTTGAGCTTCCCAATCAATTTCACAATTTCCACTCATTTCATTAAATGAGGTGATCTTAAACTGTGGGAGATAGACAATTTTCGAAAGAGACTTCTTCTTGAGGACGCTTCTACACTGATGCGCCAATACAGTTTGGTATGATACATTCGTGACACGGATGTAAGTAAAATAATTTTTTTCAACCTCATTGAATGCGCGTAGACATATTTCACATTTTTCATCGAAAGTACGTTTTTCGGTAAACGGCGAAGTTTCGCAGCCATGAGTGGAAATTTTGCCATATAACAGTGCTAATGAGATGTGCTGTTGAAGTGATTGGTTCAAGTGTTTACATACAGTAATCACGCCCTTGCTACCACTCATCATAATTTCATTTTCCCGCAACGATGACGCATAGATCTCGACCCGTAACACACTAGAGCTGTTTCTTGTAGTGTTTATTACACGATTCTTCATCACCACCTAATTTCACCGATTCATTACAGTTGCAACCCTTCGTTGTGTATCTCATATTTTGACCAGGATGAAACATCCTGCTGTGAATCGTCCATGCTTGCATTTACGAGTTGCACCTTCGCATCGAACCGATGATGTGGGCCGTCAGAACGCAACTTTATGTAACCGTAATGTTAGATGGGACCAAACAGTTTAAAAAACAGGATAGCATGAAGAATGAAGTTTCGTAAATTCGTATCATTTCCACTCAAAGAATGTTTGTACCTCACATATTTATCTGCTTTATCGTGCTTGAAAATTATGCTATGCAAATTGCATATTTGTTGAAGATAGGTACAGGTCAAAAGTTCAGATACAATACACTCTAGAATGCAATGAATGGCGATAGTTAAGCAACTACTTCAAACAGTGAATAAATGGAGGAGAGTGAATACAAATTGATATCAATTGATGGTATTTATGATGCATCCATTTTTGCTGAAGCAATGCAAGATAAATTCGTGCTTCTGATAGTGAGACCTTATGAAAGGAGGTGGCCAGTCGTATAAGCCTGCCAGCAGGGCGCCTCTTCAGATAATGTAATCCATAATAATAGTACTTATTAGCACCGAAAATCGCTAATTCAACGTATTTCCTTGCGCAGATGGGTTGTCAATCTCTTACATAACTAGGACATGAGCGATGAACCAGAAGTGAAGAAGAGCAAGGTAATCGTTCGTATCGAAGCGTTTAGGTCGACGGATTATTCATGAATTGTTGTTGCGTAACTGCATGTAAGATATTAAATCTTGCAATAACAAATACATATTCATCTGATCAATTACACTAATCAACCGAATTATCCGAGTATCAACTGTTTTTCCTTGATTGTACGATCTGACGTGATATTATATACTCCTAAGCATTTTGGACGACAGTCATACTGTAGCTCCAAAGCATTCTGGACGACAGTCATACTGTGACCAAAACTCAGACTTCAATTCTCACAAGTTGACATCGCTTGAATGCCGAATAGTACAGAAGTTCACAAAAGATTAAATGAGGCGTCATTGGGAGTTGAATTCTAATACGGGATGCAGGTTTTCGTTTCAATTTGATTTTTAGTTTCATGGAAAATGAGGTTACAGTTTAAATCCGTCTTTAACATACACCCTCCAAAACGATGTTTCCATCTGAGCTAGAAGCTATGAGATCGTGAATAGTAAGCAAAGCCTCCACCTTGCTTCATCTCAATTTGCAATCTGAACACCAATTCACTGGTAAAGAAATGGCATTTTGCAAAACTTTCCGTAAGTTCTGGACAATAAAATTCAAATTGTACGATGTTCGGTTAACAAACAAAAACAGTGGTATCACCCAAAAACGAACGGTTCCAAGGTGCGTTGAAACAGTTTATGGAGCAATCAGACACGATCTCATTCAGAGTGATCGAAATGAATGATGATGGCACGATCTGATTCACAATACTCTGATTCAGGATAAGTGAAGTGAGGTATAAAATAAGTACCTGTTGTAACAGGTTTTACAGTAAATGATATTTTCTTTGATGAAACAGGTCGGATATTGGTCGAGATGTAAGGAACACTGAGAACACCGAAGACAGTGAGTGTGCCAGAATCGTGAACTGACATTTAGTAAGGTACGATCGAGGATATATTCTGTGCATGATGAGCACACTTCCGCTTCATACTGCAAATGGTTATGAATACAAAACATTTTGACTTCGTAGAAATGGGGACGTCAAAGGCAATTACAATGCTATACAACAGCCAGAGTTTTGGAGTTTTTTTCACATGAAGATTATGAAACCTTTTTTGATTCACATCCTTTAAATTTGCTGCGACTCCGCGCCTCATTGGTTATATTTTGATAGGATGAGGGTTTCGTAGACGTTTGCCAAAGAAGACAGCTTGACGAAGCTGAAAAAAGGCAAATGAGAGTTGAATTTACCTTTGTGGGCTTGGCAAAATCGAATGCATCATTAGAGGTAGATTCGATTTGTGTGCCCGTTGATGTGACAATTGCTGCGAATTGGCTGTTTGTTGTAGAAGTTTGCTGTTGATGACCGCTATTCAAATTATTATTCGTTGTGGTGGACGTATGTTGAACGGATGCACAATCAAGTTGCGTGAATTGACGCGTTGTTAGTTCGCCCAATGGTAAAAATGCACTCGTTAAAGATTGTGTCGACGATTCTGGGCCGCCGCACAATGTCGGAATCAAGCCGCCGTTGCTACCAACTATTCGTTCTTCCGGACGGCTTCCGGCACTCTCAAAAAGCCGCTGATGAACCTCCATTCTTAAATACCGAACAGCGTCATAAAAACGCAAACGCCTTAAGGCGTTTTATCTTCCAATTATATCAATTTGCTTGCGGAGGGATATGGATAAATGGAGCCGAAGTTAGTTTCCTTTCTGGAGGATTCGTTAGTGGAGAGCTGATTTGGTGGACAACAATAAGCGCTGACAGATGAAGCGACTCTAACGAAGTAAGTTGGGATGAGTACTCGATTGTTCCATGAAACGAACCTAACGAGTTAAAGCCCCTCGCTGTTATCACGATGCCCTCGTTTTGACCACTCATCTTTTCCTTAATACAATAATCTGCAAACCCGCATCTCTTCCATCGTCTCTCATCCATTCGACAACTATCGTATTCGATTGTTGATTTGCGTTTTGTTCTCGAATGCATTATCTCCCATGACGCTCATCTCTCTTCTTTGCTGTCATTCGTTTGTACCTTCCTTTCTTCAACATCTTTTTCGTGACGTTCTTGTCATTTCCTATCCCATCACTCTGGAGGAAGTTACTAGCTACAGTAGTCTCAAAATTAACTCAACCGAAGAAGCGACATCTTCACCACGCCCAATTATCTCGTAGTTGCATTGACTGCATAAGCAAATCGATGGTCTCTGAAAATTCAGCATCTTTCATGAGGGAACGCTTGTTCTTTATTGATTCAGCTCTTCATAAAGTGTCATCAATTTTAACACTTCAGCATGATGAACAGCAAATTACTTAGTTTTCTCCGCAATTGTTAATTCGACAGAGCGGTGAAGCATTTTGTATGAATAATCAAATGGTGCTGTTGTATGAGTAAGTTTTTGTTACGTTCTCCAATGGGCGAAATCGAGACTGGTCATAACTTCAAGTGAAAATCAGCAGAAGATTTGTGTCACAAAGAACGACATAAACTCTATTCACAAGGTGGATAAACAAGAACAGAGAATGTTAGGTTCGCCACTGAGCATAAATAATGCTTGAGAATTTATTAGCAATCGTATACTGCCGAAGAAAAAAATGCTTACTTCTAATCGAATCGCGTAAAAACATTCATGAATCAAATGGAGAAGTCAGTTCCATATTCGTACCCACAATTTTCTGTAATCTTCCACAGCCCACTGACAGTTTACGTCACCATAAAATGACTTATGAAGTATTCGTCTTTGAACTAATTTTGATTTGAAATCGAGTACGCATAATGCTAATGGAAATAAGAAATGCTTATCGAACTTGCATCTGACTGGTGTGGCTATTATGAGACAATTATCGGTGTGCGGGAACATCCGCAACTCCTCCAATGGGAGTGAAAGCGCCCGCTGAACTCAAACAATGATGGAAAGCGAACCTTGATGGGGAAGTTCATTCATAATATTCATGCGACTTCCATCGGCAGAGAATGAGCGATCGATGTTTTGTTCGGCAGTATATTGGAGCGTCGAATTGATAGAATTGCTCTTTGAATCATTGTTGTTGCAAATTCAGTACCATCTGATGGTTGAACATAACCTTGTTGATAATCAACAATCAACTCTCCTCACTTGCAGTTGATATCTCGGCAGGTTGAGGGACAAGAATGTCATGTGAATAGGCAAAGCTAATTGGTAAGGACAACATGCTACCGCATCGGAACAGGACAAAACGGTTGACTGATGAACACGAACAATGAAATGGTGATGTTGTGAGAATTGGCTGGCAGCTATAGACGTCTACCACCTAATTGCTACCAAACAAAATGTTGGTAGCTAATCATCGAATGGCATCATCTGTGAATCTTTTCACTATCGGATTAACGACATTCGAATGCAGCATTCTAATCACCATCGCTTGTCACATTCTTTGTGATTTTGTTTTAACCATTCCAGTTTGTCTCACACTTGCAGCGCTAATGATTCCATTGATGCAACGACGTAATGTAGTTTTAAAGAGTGTGCGTAATCAGTTGCTGATACAATTGTCTTGATAAGGAATGTTATGCATTTTGAGGTACTCCTAGCGATGATGTTATTGTCATTATCCCAGTAGATTCCATATTTTCCAGAGTTATTTGTTCCATACATAAAGCCCAATGTTGTCCTCGTTCATGCTTCATGCTTCAATTCCCTTATGGCAACATTTCGAGCGCTGAGAGAACTGAAGTCTTTGAGGAAATGTATAATGCATCAGAAAATATGAAATGACACTACTTATACATGTTGAATTTCTTCCGAGATTCGAAGCAGCCAAGATCTTCCTCGTCGTGAAGAGTTTCAGGTGCTGCTTCGCCATTTATTTTGCTCGAAGGACTTATGACAGTACCTAAGGAATAAGGAAATGACTCATTTTCTGTGCACAGCACATACAAACATATATATA